TTTGGATGGCAACATCAAATTGAGTAAGTGGTTTCTTCCATGTTTGGTGTTTACCGGACGGTATGTCTAACTTTACTTCTAGCCGATTTCGGTTTCTGTGCCCAGATCAACGACTCGCACAATAAGCGAAACACTATGGTGGGCACGCCGTATTGGATGGCACCAGAAGTCGTTACCCGAAAGGAGTATGGCCGCAAGGTCGATATCTGGAGTCTCGGAATCATGGCAATTGAGATGATTGAGGGCGAGCCCCCTTATTTGACCGAGTCGCCTCTGCGAGCGCTGTACTTGATCGCAACCAACGGAACGCCCACGATCAAGGACGAACACAACCTGTCTCCTGTTTTCCGGGACTTCCTGCACCTTGCACTCAAGGTGGACCCCGAGAAGAGAGCGTCTGCTCATGACCTGCTTAAGGTATGTCGAGTGTTTTTTCTCTGGCTGTTTGAGCCCTTGCTAATTGAGTGTCAGCATCCGTTCATGTCCCTATGCGCCCCTCTGTCACATCTGTCGCCGCTGGTGAAGGCCGCGCGAGCCAACCGAGCGCAAGAAAAGGCTCAAAAGGGGGGTGCCTAGGTACCGTGACTTTTCACTGTTACTATATACGTCGATATCTTCTGTCTTCTCTCTCTCAGATACCCATGACTCCCGATGTTTTCATATTTGCTGGACATCTTATGCTGGCATCGCATAATGACCAACGTCTTGTTCATCCTTCTCTGTTTCTTTCTGCGAATCTCCCCTGATTTTCTAGACGGCGATGGATTCTTCTTGTGATGACCTTTCTTTCATCCTACCTTTTACTGCGGTGCTTGTGGAGCTGGAGGTCTGGAGCCTTCGCCCATTGAACACATGCACATTGTGTCTCGACGGCATGGCTGGTCTTCCCAGGTCAGCCATTGGAAAGGTGGAAAAATTGTTTGTAAATTTCTCTACTTCCGGCATTTGTCCTTGTGCGAAATTCATACTAGCGGACTTACCGGGTTGCTTCTCCAACTACGGTTCGAGTCGAATATGTTGTTGTGCCACATTACGAGTGACAAGTCTGCACTTGCATGTACTAGCAGCGTCTTCCCGTTTCCATATTGATGCGATGGTGCCCTTGGGGTTTTCTTGCTTTCGTGCAGGCCGGTGATGATTTATGAGGCATTTTCTGGCATCCATTCTTCATGATAAAATAAGAACAAAAGCATGAACTTGATTCGATTTGTTTGATCTGCTTTGTGATTCTATTCTGATAGCGACAGTCCCTACTGCTGCTTCGGCTGGCTTCCAAGCCATATTACCCTCGGAAACCCGAGATAACTTTGCTACGGCTCTTTTTGTACCGTTCTACTTAGGGTGAAGAATAATAGATTGTGTTCATAGAATTCAGTGCCATATGTGGACTGAGGGTGTTCGTCCAGTCTGGATCTTCTTTGTAGTACTTCGTACTTGGTAGCATAACCTATATCGTCATCGGGAGCTCAGGGCAGTACCAGGACCGCACTAGACCCGATTAGGCGACAGCTCTCCGCCCTGGGGCTGCGCGATTCATCAGTCGTCACCTGCTGAGCGTTCATCAGGTTGCAGCCTTCGTGCTTCCAGTTCTCACTTTGTCCCCCTGTTCTCGTCTTGCTCACCTTACTGTGGTGTTCATAATTACTTACAGGGCTCATATTTGCAGTATCGGTACATCTACTACACCTCCTGACTCCAACCACTGCTACCGCTTTCTCCTCACCCCCTAATCCATACCTACGTATTTACAACACTTCCGCAACTGCATCATCGAGGCTGTACCTCCCCGCAATTGGGTATTCGGACTCCAGTAAACGAGCAAAGCCACTCGCTCCACCGAAACCACGAGTCATTTCCTCAACACTACTTCCACCACCACTACTTCATTCACTTCATATCGTTTCCTAGTGGCGCAAGCGCTACCTGCATACCCTTCCACTCGCTACTCGAACGGCGCATCCCCGCCACCTCCCCGACCTCTCTCCGATCGCCTCACCGTGGTGCTCAAAGGCACAACACTAAAAATGTTCCGCGCGCAGCAGAACGCATTCGACGACGCAGTCGGTCAGTAACATCCTGTCCGATTCACTCTCACTTTGCCTTTCATTACACCCACATACCTCGCTCAAGCCCACTCGGTCGATGTCGCTGACGTATACAACTTCCCGCAATAGCCAAGGCGACCGACGAGAACCTGACCGCCGAAAACTGGGAGTATATTCTGGTACGCTTTTCTCCGGCAACATGCTGGATTCCTTTGCCTCAGGGGGAGGTTTTCTGACAATCTGGCGCATAGGATGTTTGTGACAAGGTCGCTGCGGAGGAGTCCGGGTATGGTTCCGCTTTTTTTTTCTAGTTGTGTTCTCGAAGAGGGATTGGGGCTGACGAGTGGGTTGGGGTGACTGTTTAGTGCGAAGGATGCCGTGGCCGCCTTGATCAAGAGGCTTGCGCATAGAAATGCCAATGTGCAATTATATACTTTGGAGGTTTGAGGTCCTTGATGCAGTTGAATTTGCTGAGTGGTGGGAGGGCTTGATCGGTTGAAGTGTGCAGTGCTGACACTTGTATTGCTCGAGGTTTTTAGTTGGCGAATGCTTTGGCGCAGAACTGTGGACCGAAGATTCACCGTGAACTTGCGTCGAGAAGTTTCACAGATGCCCTGCTGCGTCTAGCGGGCGATCGGGTGAGTAACATCGCATGTTTGCTGTGTATCGCTGGAAAAGTTACTGATGAGTCTGGCGCGCCCAACAGAACACACATCAACAGGTCAAAGCGAAGATCCTGGAGCGCATGCACGAATGGACGGAGATGTTTGCTCGTAACCCCGATTTCGGGATCATGGAGCAGGCGTTCATGAAGTTGAAGACTCAGAGTAAGTCAGGGGAAACTAGTCGGGATGACGTGGAGGCTTATATGGGCTTTCGCTCTAGATCCGAACTTGCAACCTCCTTCGAAACCAGGCAAGAGAGAGATCACCGAGGCAGATCGCCAGAAGGAAGAAGAGGAGTTACAGATGGCCCTTGCGCTCTCGATCAGGGAGAAGCCCTCGGCGGCTCCTCAGAACCAGCCGCAAGCCAGCAGCTCCAGTGCCGCAGCCCCCGTCAGTGAGTCTCCGGTGGCTGCACCAGCCCAGCCTGTTCCCTCCGGAACCTCCGCGGCCACGGTGTCGCGGGTGCGGGCACTATTTGATTTCCAGCCCTCCGAGCCCGGTGAACTGCAGTTCCGCAAGGGAGATGTTATTGCTGTTCTGGAATCGGTCTACAAGGATTGGTGGAAGGGTTCGCTGAGGGGCCAGACGGGAATTTTCCCTCTCAACTATGTCGAGAAGTTGCCCGACCCTACGGTCGAGGAGTTGCAGCGCGAAGCTCAGATGGAGGGGGAGGTCTTTGGGCAGATCAAGAACGTCGAGAAGCTTCTCACACTTCTAAGCACTCGCAGTTCCGAGCTCAATGTGCAGGACAATGAGGAAATCACGACTCTGTACCACTCGACCTTGGCAATCCGGCCGAAGTTGATCGAGCTCATTGGCAAATACTCCCAAAAGAAGGGTAGGTGTTCTTGCACCCCGTATTTGGCATTTGCACTTGCTGATTGGACTATAGATGAGTTTACGCAGCTCAATGAGAAGTTCATCAAAGCCCGCCGCGACTACGAGTCGCTCTTGGAGGCGTCGATGTCCCACCCTGCACAACCCCAGTATGGACGGCCGGCTCAAGCTCCTTACGGATATCCGGCTCCGGTAGGATATCCGCAAGCCCCGCCCCAGACTGATCCTCAGCGATACTTCAGTCCTCGTCCTTCAGGTTCGCCTAATGCTTTCCCCATCGGGTGATCCCGCCATCTAACATGAGAACAGAAGCCCAACCTGCGCAGTCCACTCCTACCCCTTACTATGGAGGAGAACAAGCTCACGCGTACCCTCCCACTTCACAATCCCCTGATCCGCGTGTCACACCTCCCGCGGGCGCCCCGTATCAGCAACAGCAGCGCCAGTCCTCGAATGAGTTCTACCAGCCCACACACCACCGCCCCGAGTCGACATATGACAATCCCCAAGAATTAGGCACTTCTGTCTACGACTCTCCTGTCGAACATCGCCCTCAGTACCCCGGACAAGTCTTACCGCCATCTTCTGCGCAGCCACCTTTCCCGGCTCAGCAACAGCAACAGCAGCAGCAGCAGCAGCAGCCGGAATTCCCCCCATCTTCTTACCCTCCTGAAGACGCCAACCGACCTCCGGCCGGAGCCAGCGCCTCCCACCACCCAGCACAGCCCCCCTACCCCACCCATCAGCCAGCGCCGATGCACCAGCCTCCTCCAGTGCCAGGCACAGCATCCACACCCACACCCTACCCTTCTCTGACCCCCGGCGGAGGCTCTTACCAGGCATACAGCCCCTCGCAAACCGATGTGTCCAACCCTGCTTCGTACTACCGGTAAAGCATGTTTAATATTGAGTTGACGGACTGTTGTGGTATGGGAGGTTTTCTCCTCCTGGTATTCATTGCTTGTTGATCAGGCTCGAGATCGGGTAGTGGAGGGGTGGTTTGGAACTGTTCCAGTAGTATGAGCTTTAGCAAGAAGACGTTTGAGCTTTTCCATTTTCATACCACTTTGTGTTCCATAGCGTTTGTTTTCTGTCGTTGCAAATGATTTTGCATTTGGTTTTGATGATCGTGGCTGTCTGTATGAAAGATTGACCCAATATGTCACGTAGCATGTAGAGGGTGAGATTCTGGTCATCGCTAGCTCGTGGACTCGTGCAGAAATATGAGGTATAGACCAACCTCGATCTATTGTACATCCATCCCAGCATGGATCATCAGTGACCTAAGTCTTAGGTAGTCTATCAGATCAGGTCAATCGGGATGCAGCTCAGGAGTGACCCATGCAAGCCCAGACGCGCGACACTGCATCGATCCATAAGTACACTACAGCTAACCACTTAAGGCTCAGTGCTTACGCGCTTGAAGGTGGAAGAAGCTAACCTTGGAAGCCTTGTCTTAATTTCACCACCTTAACGGCCTCAACAACCACCATGGTCAAGAAAGCTGAGTTACGGCGGAGTTGCACCTTCTGTCGCGCCCGCAAGATCGCCTGTTCTGGCGAGCGCATTTGCACGGCATGTCGCGATCGATCTATTGAATGTGTTTATGGCCTGGAGGGGGCCAAGGGTCGTCCTTGCCTGGGTAAAACCTCGCCAGGTATACCTCCTGCTGCTACTGCTGCTTTTCCTGCTCCTACTACGGCTGCTGCTGCTGCTGCTGCTGCTGTTACCATCACCACCACCAGCCTGGCGGCAGAACTGGATATTATGTTTCGCGAGAACTTCAGTGATGGTGATTCCACTACCCCTGTTCCATCGAATATATTCCAAGACCGGGTAGCCACCTTTAATCGGCGTCTTATGGCAGGGAGAGCCAACAGCCCGCAGCGCTCTGCCTCCGCGCCGACAGGGAGTATCAGTTACCCCGGCCTTCTAGCTCTGGCCATGCAAGAGTTGATTGAAACTGTCGCCGTCAAATTCAGCAACCTAGGCTGTCATCCCTTCTTCGGACCCGGGGAGAGTTTTTATCACGCCTCCATGCTGCAGGACACTACCAAGGCGATGTTCGATAGTCCCCCGGCCTCCTCCTCAGACCTGGATATCTGGGATGACTATAACCCGCATCTCATCTCCCAGTATCTTGAGATCTGGTTCAGTAACCATCCCTTATCGATCCTAATCTCCAAATCACTTCTTCTCCGCGACCTGCGCAGCCAGAAGGCCAATCGGATATTGTTGGCGATCCTGCTGGCGGACGCCCATCACTTTGCCGAGGAATCTGTCAAGGGAGATCGCCTGGTGCAGTGGGCCATCGCGCAATTACCCAGTGCTCCTGCAGGGAAGGGGGATCTCACCACCGCGCAGAGTCTCCTACTTCTGGGCTGGTACCATGCCTGCCGCGGGCGCTCGCGTCGGGCATTATGCTATGTGGGATACGCAGGCCGTATCATCACGACGTTGAAGTGCCAACTGTCAGAGTCGTCTTTGGCCGGGCAGACGCACATCAATGGCGTTGATCACGGCGCAGTGGAGGCAGAGCTGATTCACAACATATGCTGGGTGATGTTGGCCCTCACGCTATGGTCGTATATCCAGATGGATATGCCTCTGCTAGATCTGCTGCCCGCGCGGCTCATGCAGGTACTCCCTGCCAGCTCAGAGGCCGAGTCGATGCTGCTCCAACTCGATCGAGCAACCGAGAACCTCTCTACCCTGAAGTCGCAATCTTCTTCCTTGCAGTCGGTGTGGCTGCTGGCACATGTCACCTCGCTGAGCGCGCGTCTGTACGCCGTCTATCCACGGCCCCAATGCGGCTCGCCGGTGCCGCAACCGTGGCAAGAGTCGATCCTGCACCGGCTCGATCGCCTCCTGCACCAAGGCCGCAGTCTGGCGCAGGTTTGCGCGGGGGCTCGTGACGCCCTGCTGGATGTCGTTGCGACGGTGCAACACGGATCGGGTGATTGCTGGGGCGGTCCCATACTGCTCATTTTCTACCAGGCTGTTGCTTTGCATCTGCTCTTCCCACGAAAAGAGATGGGAAACGACACCGCACAGGTTCTTGTCCTCAGCGACTCGCTCTTTCAACGGCTCACGACCTCTATGCATGATTTGAAGCAGCTGTTCCCCGCGATCCAAGCCTTCTCGCAACATCATTTTGGCCACGCAGCTAACACGGTGTCCGCCTCGCTTCATTTCTACATGCTTGGCCTGGACGCTGTGAGTCGGGCTCTCATGTATATGCTCACTCTATGGGACCGTGCCACAACAGTCGAGCAGCAGCTCTGGCGGGATAGGCTTTCCAGGCTATTAGAGATGGGGCTGAGGATGCAAGAGCTCTTCGATCACGAGACTCTCTTAAAGGATTGCCGATGGCGCGCAGTAAAGCGTCAGCTGAAGACGGCTTGCAGCAGACTCGAGGGGGTGGTTTCCAGCTTCCGAGATCAGTCCTCCCACGGCTTTTCTGGTGCATTGGACCTCAATCTGCCTTTGCAGCAGATACCGGCCGCGAGAAATCCCACCACAGAGCCGATGTCTTCGTCCTCGTCGCTCGTGCCCGTCGCCCACGATACGGACTTTGAGTGGCTGGACTTGCAAGACGTCACGAGCCCCCCAACCACGGCGTCCAATTTGCGAGACTTCGGCCTCGCATCGTTGGCTAACCCCATCCCCATTCTGTCATTGAATCCGTTTGACTCCCTGCCCGGCGTGACTGGGCCATCCTGTATGGTTCAACCAGGCCAGACTTCTATGCCGTTAAGCTTGTTATGGGACGATGCAATGATGAATCCTATATCTCAATCGGTGGGTGTCATGCCATCGCCGCCGTCGGTCTCGCTGGGTGGACTTGGTCCGAGTGGCCAGGAGAGCCAGAGGAAGCGATCGTCGAACGATCTCAGCGGTGTGGAGGAGGGGGATGCGTGGGTAGAGGAACCGAAGACGAAGCGATCAAGGGAGTTGCGCTCACATAGCTCCTTTCATTAAGCAGGCGTGTATTGAATCGTGCTGTCGGTTCAGATGTCTGTCCTCAGTATCAGTCGTTGAGGAAGTTGTAAGCTGACGCTGCTCGGACTTTGTATGCGTTGTTTTTCCATGGCTGATTAAACCTCCGTCGCGCCACGGAGATCCGGCGGGATATTCTATATAGGTATATACCTATTCATCCCCCGCCACAGCAACGGCAACCGTACTTCGTACATGAATTGTGTGTGCCTTTTCTACTCGTGAATCCAAAGCAAAGAATTGCTAGGAATTGGTGGTATGCAAACTTGCACTGCAACCAGTAGCCCTGATGCTTGCCCCAACTCAAGTAAGGCTCCTGCTGCGGCATTCGCTTCTAGTTTAGAGACTTAATCCAGCTTGGTTAGGGAAACAAGAATCTACGCGTAGTTCATGGTGGTGGCATCAGCATCAATTGCTTCTTGATATACCGTCTTATCACAAGGCCAATAAGCACGCCATTAGCGCTGCTTACGGCGATAACTAGCTTACAGGAAGCTGTGCATCCTGGTCACCTCAGTCAATTAGTCCTTCGAGTACCTACATTCTCACTCCTCTCCCCTCTGACACCGTCAATATAGACAATAGAACGCCATGACCCAATTCTACGCCCCCGACACCCCCGACCGCGTCAAAAACGCCATCGTACACCCCTCCTCCCTAGCTATCCAAACACTCTCGAATACTAATACAATCAGGGCCTCCATCTCATAACCGCCCTAACCCCCAACGGCCGCAAGGCCCACATCTACCTCGAGGAGCTGAAAGATACCTACGGCCTCCCCTTCACCATCAGCCTCATCGACCTCGACACGAACGAGCAGAAGAAACCATGGTTTCTGCGCTTGAATCCGAATGGTCAGCTTGCCTTCCTTGCCTTGTCCTTCCCCAACCCCGACAATCCCAAATCCACATGTACCAGGCACTGCATGCAACAACCAAGTCCCTAACCTCATCCCCTGTTTTGCGTGGATAGGCCGCATCCCCCTCCTGATCGACAATACCACCACCCCCAACCCGCACGTCGTCATGGAATCCTCCGCTATCCTGCTGTACCTGTTCCAGAAGGTCGATCACTCCTATAGGTTTGGGTTCGCGGATCCGCTGCAGCAGAGTCAACTGCTGCAGTGGCTGGTCTTCTGGGGTGCGTCGGGGCAGATGGTTCAGGGGCAGTGGAATTATTTCCGGCGGAACCAGGTCGAGAATGATCGTGAGTTCGCCCTCTTTCCGTGTTTACTCTTGAATCGGGTTCGGCTCGACTGTCTTTGGCTCTAATGCAGGGGGCATAGACGCGAAGAAGCGATTTCACGATGAGTTACTCCGCGTGAATCACGTCCTCGAAGCGCATCTCTCGGGGCTGTATACGGATCCCAGCCTGGCGAGGGAGTACCTGGCGGGACCGGGGAGGGGGAAGTACACGATCACGGATATGAATGCTTGGCCGTGGGTGAGGAATTTTAGGGCTGTTGGGCTGGAGGCGGAGGAGCTGGTGAGGTTGCCTGCTCTTGCGGCGTGGGTGGATAGGGTCGGCGGGCGGGGGGCGGTGCAGAGGGGCGCGTTTGGGGAGGGGTATGATGAGGGAGTGTCGCCTGAGTTGGTGGTTAGGACGTGACTTACACTGTAGGTTTGGGGGCTGGTTATCATTCTTGTTTCTGGCAGCTAGATCATGGTAGGCTGCGTGGCGGTAGTTACAGTATACCCCCTTTATCCAACTATATGTATGCATGTTGAAGTTATACATGTTGTGTTAATTCAGTTTGCCTGTAGGTGGATATGATCGATCTAACCTTTTATACATTGTATACACAGGTATGTCCGGACTTGCTCTTAATATGTAGAACGTACAGAATAGCTTTTGTACTGTTTTCTACTACGCCTTTGTGGTGGGATTGCTTCAGTTTATATACTATCTCATGGCTCAATATATCATCACTGAGATTTCGCGGAGAATGTCATGTCAGTATGCAGTACATACTGGATATGTCCCGAGAACATAGTAAATATTAGATCACATCTCGAGGTGACTCACTGATGAGATATGGATGATGATGAAGATGCTGCTGCTGCTGCTGCTGCTGGCAATACTTTTATTCCTCGTCCGTCCCGCCTGCCTCGCTCACGTGACGATGTGTTGGTCTCCCTCACCCTCCATTGCCGTCTTCAAGACCTCGTCAAATCCGCTCGACCCCAGAGGCACTTCGTCTCTTAAGTCGCCGTTGATTAAGAGAGCCTGCGAGCTGCTCGACTGACTCGACGCGACATTCTTTCCCTGCGCCTTGTGTTACGACACCACAGATTCTCAACCTTTACCACCACCCACCACCATCACCACTACCACCACCAAAGCTCTATCCCCGCACTCGCGCTTCCGCCGAACCATGCACCTTGTCGCCTGTTCCCAGATGGACATGCCCCAAACCTACTGCTGAACATCCCGACCCAGCTCAAACCTCCCCCAAACATCCTTAAGCCCGGGTATCTGCCCGGGTGCCATGTCAAGCCATGGAAGCTGATTGGGATGAATTGTCGCGCATACCCGTGCCCCCTCCAAGTCCGCACGGGTTGCCGACGGTCGCGACCACAATAGCCTTTGACGATGTGATGGAACTTCTGTGGGCCGGAAATGAATATGTACACTTGATCGACCCTTGACATACTGCTGGCGATACTGATCTAGCTTCTGGCTGCTTAGGGCCGAATTACTTCCTTCTACGGTCCCGAAATGCAGAGGTATACCTCTGTTCGGGCACACCCCGTGGCCGAAGGCGCGGTGCGACAAATCCTCTTCCACGAAAGAGGCGTATTATCGATCTCCTCGAAGAGTGCACACATGATCACCCGACGCGGCCTGACGCAGTGGCACATCGCTCACGAAGAGATGACCGACCTTCGCTGCATGAGTTTCACCGCACAAACGAACCGGATCATCGTGGCTGGATGCCAGAAAGTGATGTTCACCATCGATATCGACAAGGGGATTATTGTCGACAAGTTGCCGACGGATTACAACTATACCATGATGAAGAAGAGCCGGTATCTCTGCGCGGCCACCGACACCGGCTCCGTCAACGCGCTGAGTCTGAATGACTTCAGCGTCGTCAAGTCGTGGAAAGCCCACGGCACCGCCGTCAACGACATGGATGCGCGGAACGATCTGCTGGTCACCTGCGGCTTCTCGGTCCGACACCTGGGGGCCCCGATCGTGGACCCTCTCGCCAATGTCTACGACTTGAAAACACTCTCTCCGTTACCCCCGATCCCCTTCCACGCGGGTGCCGCTTACGTGCGCATGCACCCGAAGCTGCACACGACGAGCTTTGTCGCCTCCCAGACGGGCCAGCTGCAGGTCGTCGATCTGATGAATCCCAATGCGATCAACCTGCGGCAGGCGAATGTTTCTTTCATGCTGGGCATCGACCTCTCGCCGTCGGGAGAAGCGCTCGCCATCAATGATGCGGAGTGTCAGATCCATCTGTGGGGCTCCCCGGCGAAGGTGCATTTCAACGAGATGAGCAAAGAAACCGAGTTTGCCGATGTCACGCCGCGGCCGCCGCCGGTCGACTGGTCTCCGGAAACGCCCCTGAGTATGATCGGGATGCCGTATTACCACGATCGGCTGTTTTCAGCGTGGCCGAGTCATCTCGTTTTCGAGGTCGGTAGTCCCCCGGCCCCCGTCGACCAAGCTTTGCTCGCCTACCTACGTCCGGCCGAGATCGGCCATTATGCGGCGAACCCGAAGAAAACGCGGCGGTATCAGGTGGAGAACACTCGCGCATTATCTACGGCGGACACGGCTCTCATCGCTCCCAGATTCTTGAGTGAGAAGGCCAGGGAGCAGAGCAAGGTCAAGTCCGATGGTTCCATCAGCGACACAACGGAGGCCTTGGCTGCTGCGAAGCTCAACGGTGAAGCTGAAGATGACCCGCTTCTGAAATACAGTAACGTCGAAATCAAGTACAGTCGATTTGGTGTTGATGACTTCGACTTCCGGTATGTCAGACAGCATCTCTTGGTACACTCTCATGCATGACTAACGTAGCTCAGATTCTATAACCAGACGACCTTTTCTGGTCTCGAGACACACATTGCGAACTCCTTTACCAATGCTCTCCTTCAACTTTTCAAGTTCATCCCCATGATCCGCAATGTTGCGCTCCATCACGCTGCTAGCTCTTGCATATTCGAGAGCTGTCTTCTGTGTGAGATGGGTTATCTATTTGATATGCTCGAGAAAGCCAACGGTCAAAATTGCCAGGCGACCAATCTCCTGAAGACCTTCAGTAGCTCTCGTGAAGCGTCGAGCCTGGGCTTATTCGAGGAGAATTTGACGACCAAGTCTCTTTCCACGGCCATCCAAGCGGTCAACAGGTTCTTCTTGACACAAATCTCTCACGATCACCGGATGATCTTACCCAGCTCGGAAGAACTCGACCAGCGACTCAACACCGTTGCCTCTGAAACTATACGATGCATGTGCTGCCAGAACGATATTGTCAGGCCCGGTAACTCCCTGGTCAACGAGCTGGTGTACCCCGCCATTGACCTAAAGCAAATTCGCCGGAACCCTGCCTTCCGCTTTTCCAACATCTTGCGAGCCAGCATAGAGCGAGAAACCCAGAATAGAGGTTGGTGCAATTTGTGTCGACGGTACCAACAAGTGAAGATCCGGAAAAGTATACACCGTATGCCTCCGGTCTTGATGCTCAACGCAGCATTGAGTAACCCCATCTGTCGCCGCCTGTGGGCTATTCCTGGCTGGCTGCCGGAAGAAATTGGAATTGCGGTCGACAATGGCAAGGCTCTGTGCTTCGAGGGCGACGAGCTCAAGTTGCGACTCCAGTCCAAGATGGCTGGGCTTGTGGTGTATGAACTGGTGGGGCTGGTTTGCGAGATCGACATCCCTGAGCATCAGAAAGCTCATCTGGTCTCCTTCATCAATGTCTCCATATCATCACCTGAGGCAGACCCTACGAATAAGTGGCATTTATTCAATGACTTCCTCGTGACTGAGGTTGACAGGGATGAAGCCCTCCGATTCAATCAGCCGTGGAAAGTACCATGTGTCTTGGCTTACCAAGTCAAGGATGGACGTCATTCCATGGACGACTCCTGGAAGAAATCGCTTGATACCACCCTTTTGTTCCGTGATTGGTCTATGAAGTAAGTTTACCTTCGAGCTTTTGGTGGCATCTCATTCACTAACGCCCCTCTCTAGTGCTGGCCAAGCCGTGGATTCGCGCGTGACACTTACCGAGGAGGAAAAGCCCACTCCGGGCACCCCTGTTGCGCTGGATACGGAGTTCGTCGATCTCGAAAAAGCGGAAATCGATGTCAAGGCAGACGGCTCGCAAGAGGTGGTACGGCCGAACAAGAGTGGCCTGGCTCGAGTGTCTGTTCTCCGAGGCTCCGGGCTTCGCGAGGGCATTCCGTTCATCGACGATTATATCAACATCAAAGAACCCATTGTGGACTATGTTACGCAGTATTCCGGTATCAAGCCCGGAGACCTTGATCCCCGCACTAGCCCACACAATCTCGTTCCACTGAAAGTGGCATATAAGAAGCTCTGGCTGCTTCTGAATCTAGGCTGTGTGTTTGTCGGGCACGGCCTGGCCTCCGATTTCCGGAAAGTGAACATTCAGGTTCCCAAGAACCAAACGGTGGACACGCAGTATCTGTTCTTCCACCCTGGGAAGAATCGACGTCTGAGTCTCCGATACCTCGCCTGGGCTGTGTTCAAGGAATTCATTCAAGAAGAGCCCACCGACAACAATAACCAAGGACATGACTCGATCGAGGACGCGCGGATGGCGCTGCGCCTCTGGAAGAAATTCAAGGAGTATGAAGACGCCGGGGTCGTATCCCAGATTCTGGAGGAAATCTTCCGCGAAGGGTCCAAGCTTGGATTCCGGCCGCCCCCCAGGAACGGCACCACGACCGTCCTTTCTCGTCCCGGTACTGCGGTGACGATGCAGAATGGCAGCGGCCGCAATACTCCCAGCACCCCCGACGTTGGAGTCCCCGCCGGCAGCGCGCCTGCAACCCCGCGGCAAGCGTTTCGACGCTCGATTGCGTTGACTCCGAGTAACGGCAGCTTTGCGAGCCCTGCCGCAAGCGACATTTTTGGTGCCAGCCCGTTGAAGTAGGCAGTCGTCGGCTTTTGAATGGAAGCGATAACGGTCTTCCAGTCAGGACATGTTTGCTTTTGATTACACCTATACCATGAATCGCTTGATAGAAAGCAACCTCGATTGGGGGGTCTCCATTGACTGTCGCAGTTGGGTATCGCTGACAATTGGCTTGCCATGCTTCGCGCTTTAATCAGAAATAGAAATTACACTTAGATTCAATATTTTTGATTGGGGTTTGCTGTAGTGACATGGGTAATTCCTTTGATTAGAACTAAGAGACGTGTCTATTATACTGTAACGTTATTGACGAATATCTCCTCGGTGACTGGAAGAACTGGTGGTGGGTGGGGAATGACGTGGTTGCGGGAGGATCTCAGATCATTCCAACTCAACTCAACTCAACTCAGCTCAGCTCGCGGCTTCCACAAACTGACCCGGCCAATCTCTCTCTCTCTCTTCACTATCTCCCCCTTCAGTCTCATCAACCAGTCTGTTGATGGGCCAGATAAAGTTTTCTGCAAACAACGGCCTAAGTTCTTAGAATATCTGACCTGTTAAGATCTGTTTATCGAACCGGTGCATCCATTCGACTCGCCCAGTTCGCCTTCCCCCTCTG